GAAACCCTCGCCGTGGTGTGGCAGCCATAGCCAGCCTTCCGGAGGTTGCCATAGCTGGGGCATCCTCAGAGCATCTACCCCTGAGGGTATCTGCGACTGGCGGGGCTATGCTGAGGCTATTCATTGAGTATTCGTGGGTGGACCACTGTCGCCCATCTCCCCTCTGGAGTTATCAGGGCTTCATCAGTGGTGGGGCAGCCATAGCTGCCAGCTTCTTCGTCAGAGTGTTCACCGACGCTGAAGGCTTCATCGCAGCACCTCTTCTCCATTTGGGCGGTTGGCACTGGCCTCTGGGAGGCCATTTCAGGGTTGCGCTACTAACTGGGTGTAGGGTAGAGAGTGGTGTGTAGAGTTTTGAGGGTGGCGAGATATTGAAATAAACTCTGTAACGATAATTGGTTTGAGTTGGCTCATCATCAGTGTGAACCCTATTGTTATCCTCGCAGGTGTCTTCTTTTGATTGGTTGTTGGGAGTTTCGTCAGAGAGTGAGAAACATTGTGTGTCCTCTCCACACTTGTGCATGGTTATGTTCCACTGCCTATTCTCATCTATGTACAGTGTGTACTTTGTCTCCTCTTCCCTTCTTCTTATGCATGCATGGGCGTGTATGAGACTGTCTGTGTGTGAGTGGCGGTGAAAATCGTCAGACAACCAAGTTCATAACACTCTCACGTGCCAGGTACTAACCTGTGCAGTTGGCGCTGTGCTGCAGGTACATCGAAGACGAAGCTGGAGATATGTCGCTGAAGGTAAGTCTCCATGGCCTCCGCCCAATCTCTCTCTCTCTCTCTCCGGTACTACTCTAGCTCGTACTAGCGCCCAGCGCTGAAGACTACAGCTAACGCTACTAGCGCCCAGCGCTGAAGACTACTGATAGCGCTACTACTACTCCCGCAGCTCTCTCCCGCAGCTCTCCTCCAGAGTGCTGCTGCCGAATCCTGACGAATACCTCCTGCCTCCTGAACTGCACGTGAAGTGCCCGGGAAGTACCTAGGAACTACCTGCCGGCCTGCAGGGCGGGCCAGTCCTATATAGTGCTGGCCCGTCCAGGAGGCTGCTCTTGCCAATGCCAAAACATGCCAGACCCTGGTGTTGAAGCTCAACCAGGGGTTGTCTTGCAAACAGGCCCAAAATGGCCTGTGCTAAAACCCTGGTTTGGTGCCTGAGTTTCAGGGCAGGTCGAACTCATGAGGGCCTGAAAATGGCCCTCAGTTTCAGGCTGGCCTGAAAACGTCACAGGCCTGAAAGTGGCCCGTGCAGCCTGTTGCAGGCGCAGCATGTAACACACACACACACACACACACACACACACACACA